GATGCAGCTTCGAGGCTGGATCCGTGTACTGGTATGGAAATGGTTGAGAAGCTGGACACTCCTGTTTATTTCAGCAATGAGACGGTCACAATGTTGTTCTTCCAATCGGTCACGATTGTTGCGTTTTGACGCCTGTTTTTTTCATCTGGAGAATTAACTCACGTTAAGGCATGTTGCCTGCTTTGTTCATTGAGGTGAATTTGGTCCGTTCGGTGGCCTGACAATCCACTGGGTGATTGTGGTCCCGCAACAAGGATTTCAACTTCTCGAACGGCAATTCAGGAGGAACATTGGAAAACGTTAGATTCTTCACCAGGGAATGCAGCTGTCGGCCGCTCAACGTCAAAAATACGACCGAGTGATTTTGCATTCCTTCTTTCGGGATGTTGCACCATAATTCGAAACGTTCTACCCACTCTTCGATTTCTGATGGACTTGCGTGCAGTTTCATAGGTTCAATGACAGGAATCTCCATTGCGCGGCGCCAAATTGTGGTAATCAGAATAGTACTGAATGAAGAAATACAAGAACCCGTCCTGGAATTCCTCGAAACCCTGATAGCTTGGGTCTCAGACTATCTGTGAGATCGGACCTTTCGAGTTCAAGTAAACGGCATTCTCTCAGGTAGGTTTGGAGCACCCAGTGGTACATGTATCTCGCCCTTGGAACTCACTGCCAACGACAGAAGTCCAGGCTAAAAGTAACCAATCATTCAAAAAGCTACTTGACTAACACAGCCGAACAGTACCCTGGCGCTGCGTTCGACACACCATTAATGGCAGTCAGAGCGACCCCACCCTGGGGCATCTGAGCACCGGCCTTTGATTGTCATACATTGTGTGTGTTTGCAGATGGGGTGATATAGATGTGTGAACCCCCCGAAATGTTTTTCGTTACTCTGCCTTCCCTGATACCAGAGCTGCATTCTGCGAACAAGGCCGGACACCGGACGTTCGGTCGCTCGGTATGTATCACGGAGGTTACTCACCCAGGTGATAAATCACGCATTCATCACCAGATACAACCCCCATCCAAGCAAGGCAGGGATTTTCATCCATCATGGTCCAGAAAAAATATATATACCTATAACGATAAAAATAGGAAAACCACCGGCTAGGCAATGATGCGACAAAAACACTCTAAAGTGAGTGATTGTTGATCGGATTAGCTCCCAATGCCTCATTGTATTGAAGGCGAAAATGAGATGAATAATAATAATAAAAGAAAAAAGGTCATTGAAGTGGCTGACTTGGGGCAGCCATTTTGAATGTTTAACTAACAACTATAACTTCCCGCGTTTCCTAGCAAAGGTCAAGCAGGCGGAGAGAAACAACTTAAGGTTGAAGAGCTTGAAAACTTTTATAAATATTGTGACCCATCTCGTCTTAATTTCTTCATATCCGATTCCATTTCCATCCGGGTCAGCCACAATTGCGCGGCCACATGCGATATATCCGATTCCATTTTCATCCGACTCAATTGGCTCAACTCCGTGGCACATGCTAATAATTTGTTTATATCCGATTCCGATTTCATCCGACTCAATTGGCTCAATTCCGTGGCACATACCAACCAGGTAGCAGTCCACTTCCTCAACCAATTCCATACCAGTACACGGATCCAGCCCCGAAGCTGCATCTGTGGAACACAACCTAATTTGGTACATACTTTTATAAGTATTCTGACCCATCTCACCCTAAATTCTTCATTTTCGATTCCACTTTCATCCGACTCATTTGGCTCAACTCCGTGGCACATGCTAACCAGGTAGCAGTGTCCAC